ATAGCAGGTCACAAGAGAGTGACAAACATACAAAAGAAGTAGAGGAAAATGACAATAGTAAGGATCAGGAAAGAAAAAGCAGCAGTTCCCTGTTGTAGTTTAGGCACAGTTATGAGCGTGACATGAGTCAGCCCATTTACAATTCTACTATGCTTGAACGAGAAATGTCCCCCATTTGAGAATGGCCTAAAGACACTACAGTCAGTGGCACTGCCCCAGGGGGAGTTAGAAAGCATTTTACGGCATCTGCAACACAATTAGGTCAGGGTCCTATAAGTGTAAAAAATTAGAGTTGTTACAAGAGAGCAATAAACACAAAAAAAGGAGAGAAAAGAACGATACATGTTTGATAGGAAAGAAAGAGCACCTGCCAATCACCCATCAAAAACAAAAACGATAAACGTAGAGAAATTGAGTAGAATCAGCATTTTTAAAAAAATTATTTTAAAAAAAAAAACAAAAAAAAAACAACCCAAAACGAGTAGTCAGCATCAAGCAATAATCAGGCTTTCAGAACTTACCAGCTCATGAAAATAACAAGCCATACAAAATCGAAGAGGCATGTGAGGCAGTGTGGTGAAATAAGGCGCTCGTCAAAATACAGAAATTGAAGAAACAGGCATCTTTCCGCCAGTTTGGAAATTTTCTATCCAATTTTTATTTTTTGGCTCAATCTCTTTTATGTCCATAAAACACATTTCCACGTGAATTTAGCAAACCCCATTGATTAAAGGCAAAAACTATGTCATTTTTCAGTTTTCAAAGACTCTTTGGCTATTGGATATACCAAACTTTGGCGGCCATTTTCTCGGTAATTTCACCACTGAAACCACTTCCTTCAATCGCAGATGTCTTGAGTTCTGTTTGAGATAGATGGATGTATATATCTATTCCATTGGAAGCAAGGCAAATAAATCAGCTTTCAGATGATACCAATAACTCCACATGCCCACAAATTGACGAGCGCCTGATTCCACGGCATCCTGACACTGACACATACTTTAATTAAAATTAATCAAATTAATTTCAACCATTAAAAAAATGAGTATTTATGCCCCAATGATATAATTTAGATCACCCAACCCAGGCTGAGAGGGATATTACACTCCAGCAGAAAGACCGAGGTGCTCGATAAAAATGCTCCCCACTCTGAAATCAAACTCAGATCTCCTGTGTGCCACAACGAAGTGCCTAACTGCTATAACAGACACCGGTTATTGCAACCAGAACAGGCATAAGCACATTAACCTACAGGGAGACAGCTAACCTTCAAACACTGTTTACATTGAAACCTAAAGGAACTTTTTGAACTAAAAGACATTCCAAATAAGAACACTCAGTGTACCTTCATTCTCTCGAAGCTGAACTTCATTCCTTCAATAATTTCTTCATCACTCTGAAAGAAAAAAATGGGAATTAGGAAACATTTTAAATTTACCATAAGACAGATGGACAATAGTGTATCAAGTGATTGAGTAGTCGAAAAACCCTCAACGAATTTGTCTGACTCTGAACCAGCAATGCATTAACAATAACAGTCAGGTTTGCACAACATGTAAAGTTCCGGTACATTGAGCTATAGTCAACCTGTAAGTGTCACAGATTTTTCTTTCAATGTAAGTGTTTTCACGTCCCTTTCAAGACAATATAGACCGTTTAGGAGGTGGGCTTCCGATTCTGCCTGTCAGCGTCAACTCGGGTTGAGAGAGATACAACATCCCAGCAGAACGACTCAGCTACACAATAAAATGTAGGTCAAGTAAACTGTTATAAGAAACCATATGCAGTTGAAAATATCAAACTCAAATTACCTGGGGGCCACTGGAGTAGAGTCTTAGCGAGCCTGGGCAGCCCCCCCTCCCCCACAAGTAGAGTTTGAGCGAGCCTGGGCAGTAAGCACCCCCCCACCCCCCACCGAAAAAGTCTTAAGTATTTTTTAAAAGTACAACTGATCTAATCTTCTCAATTTTTACATTATTAACAACACATTAGAACACATGGTCCTTTTATATCTGCCCCTTGCTGGCAGAGACCTGGCAATTCTTCCTCTTACACAGCTTATGGCATGAGCGAGAGAGCAAGTGAGACCCTCGACATGACTAGAAGACACTCATTTGTAAGTTTGGATCTGTAATTTGACAAAGTAAAGTTCATGGCAGAGAGGAGTGTTGGTTTTTTTTAAACATAGATACAGTTGGGCAAGGATAACATGAACACCAAAGACTTGAGATCAGAGATAGCTTGTACAATATATGCCATTTCCCAACTGAACCGCTGTATTTTCTTTGTATCCACACCACTGTTTTCTAAAAGAACTTACAGATTTGTCGAACAGCTCAGCCTGAAAACCCCAATCAAATGTTTCCTCACAATAGTAAAAAACAACTGATCAAACTTGGGAAATATTAAAATAAAACTTTAATGTCAAGTAGGGACCCCAAAATATCCTCCTGAGGGCCTTAATTAGCCAACAGACTTTGAGTTTGAGGCCCCTGCATCAGACTATCACAAAACCACCAACCATCTCAAAGACGTCTTTCTCGGCCAGTTCCATGAGTATGGGTGTGGTGATGTAGCCCGTCTGCTGTAGCCGGATGCCGTCTGCAATGGTGTCCAGGTACTGGGGCGGCCCTTCCCAAGGACGCTTGCCTGGGGATGTCATGGCAGAGAGCACTCACTGATAGTCAACTGTTTGTTAGATTTACAGACACCAACTGGGTCCATTTAAGAAATTATCTTTACACCCACAAGTAGTTCGCCAATCTCATTGCTTACTAATTTTTTACAAGAACTAAAAAATCTAACCGTTTACAGTTGTTTGTAAGGAGATGGTCTCTGAGCTCTCTCAGACCATCAGCCAGACTTTTGGTTCTCTGCCCATGACTAACAACAGTTTAAGGCCACACATGGGTGTTTGGGGTCCAGTCTGGGTTTAAACAATGTTTTTTCAGTCTTTAGAAACTTCCCTTTAAAATTAAGTGCTAAATCCAATGGAAGTACTCCAAAAGCTCTATTCCAAAGAGATAGCTCCATAAAGTTGGTAACATTGTGAGCCAATACAATGCTTTAAAGCAATTTTGAAATGTTTTTGCTCCTTTCCTCAAAATGTTAATTTCTTGGCCTTATAAGCCAAAAACTTAAAAAACCGTTCAAGATAGAGACATGAAATTTGGAGGGTAAGTGCACCAAGCAAATCCAAATAAATAAAATAACGCTAGCTTTTTATAATTTTTGAAAAGAATATAATTTAATGATTTTTTTACTTTGCTATTATGACTACTTATGTCATTCGCTAATACGCAAGTCTTCTAAAAGTAATAAAATTATTAATATAAATGTACAATTTCAAGAAAAGCTAGTGTCATTTTGTTAAGATTTGTGTGAAGATTACAAATATATTATAATGTAATTAGTTCATAGATAGCACGGATGGTTTTTGAGTCTTTAGCTTTTGAAAATAGTCCTTCAGATAGCCTGGTTTCACCCTAATTTGCCATTTCTGTGATGTAACTGATAATGGTTCCCAAAACTTAACATTTTTAATCCGTGAATGGAATACTTTGAGAAAATGAGAAAAATCAAGTAAAATTAACTTCATTGTAGATTTTGGTGCTAAAGAGGTAGAGTGTGGCTTTAAATCTTTTTCACGGTGCACCTACCTGTTCTCAAACATTCCTCCAGTCGCTTCCCTTTAGGAGCCACGATGAATACTGAAAAATAGAACTCGAGAATTTAGTTTTAGATTGAGTTTTACAGTACAAAAAGCACAAATATGTCACATAAGTGTAGAAGATTAGAGGCGTTAATAGAGAATAGCATACCAAATAAACAATTTTTTTTTAAAGTAATAAATAGATTAGTACAGTCAAACCTGCTTTAACAACCATCCGTCTGAGACAATTACTAGTACACACGATAACTTCCCACTTCCTCCCTTGGTTTTTTCTAATATCATAATGACTCTGACATGGTTAAAGACACCCACTTGTCCAAGTCTATGACAATCACTTTTCTCCTGGCAACTCAACAGGTGTCCGTCTTGAACAATTTTGAGCGCATGATATAAATGTTATTTAAAATAAAAACCAAAGCAGAAAATGGCAATATGTTGACAAATTGATAACCATAACCTCACCAAAGGCAAGTAGAACAGTGCATAGACTTTGACCTACTTTTGATGTCCGGTTTGATGGTCTTGGCAGCGATACAGATTCCCGAGGACATCCCACCTCCACTGATGGGGACCAGGATAGCGTCCAGGAAAGGCACTTGCTCCAACAGCTCCACAGCTATGGTGCCCTGATCAAACAAAAAACTTGGCATAAAGAAAACAGCAGCCTTCTTTGCTTGTCACTTTCAGATAAAGTTAACATTTTCTAAGCTCTTCGAAATCAATACATCTACTGAATAGACGCTGAATGTGCATCACTGCCGCGGCTTGTCTACCCAGTAGACACTGGGAGTAGGCCTGATTCTTGGTGAAAAGAACAGTTTCTCTCTTATCCAATCCAAATATTTACAAGAAGATAGGAAAGGAAGAGGAATTTTATGTGTGCTCTAAAAAAAAACAGTGAGAGCCAAGCATAAGTATTATATGGCGCTCATAACTTCATACGGTCAAGTGTGTGTGTGAGACACATATTAAGCATTGTTAGTTTGGCCAAGGAATTAATTTTAAATTCTGTTGGGTTAATTATGTCAGAATGTAAATGAAGGGTACAAAAAAACAACAACATGATATGTCACTTTTTAGTATTTGGCCAATATGAGTTGTGATGTTGGCTGGAAAGTGTTTTCCAGCCTCTTCTGTCCCATTTGTGAGTAAAGTAATAAAATGTAGTGAGTTACTCAATTCCAGGCATAAAAAATAAATTCTGGAAAAAAAACAACACATGAGTTGTCAAGCTTCTGATTTTTGCTTTTCTCAAAATGCCAAAAAGTGACATACTTTGTTTTTCTCTTGCACCCAACAGACTAAAAAACCAACCTGTCCAGCAATCACATCCACGTGGTCATAAGGGGGAATTAACTCAAAGTTCCTATCGTCCTGTACTTTGTCACAAGCCTCATTTCTGTGATTATCAAGAAAAGAAGAAAAAAAATAGGTAAACAGAAATACAGTTGTTTGCCTGGCAAAACAAAAAAAAAGGAATGGGTAGGTCAGTCAGATACACTTGAAATAGACACAGAGACACACACACACGCACGCTCACACACACAAAGAATCAGCACAAGGTCATGACCACAAAAAAGAAGGAGGCAGACTAGAACAATAGAAAAACAGCAATAGAAGTAGAAGGTGTGAACCATACCACAGCATCCATGTCAACGTAGAAAGACATAATATATATTGCTTAATTATTACAATCTGTGGCATGCTGTATATTTGTGACTAAGAATGGAGGTGAAAACTAGAAGATACTGTGAAGCACAAGTGGATCCAATTAAAATCTTATTTTCCCAACTATCTGCATGCCTTCTGAACATCTTCAAATCAACCACAACTCAACACTTCCACGGAATTTCAATTACATGGCATGCCTAGAGTGACATAGAAATAATCCTTGCTCTAGCAGAGTAAATTTCATATGAGAAGCAAAAATCTATTTGGCTTCATCAAACCGCAACATAGCACTCGGCAGGTTGTTCCGCTTTGTTTCTAACATTTTAGAAACATTGTTAGTTAAAATTCAGACCTGTCTTATATTGATAATATGAAATGGATAAATTAATATCAATTCGTCAAATAAATTTTAAAAGATATTTCGCTGGTTAGCCGGTCTTATCGGAAGGGCAGTGATATTCTGATTGTTTTCACAACTTAAATTCAAAGTTCAACAGCAAGCACTGCACAATAAATTCCAGAAAGAAAGACACTTTCCTGTCACTGGGCTTTGGTCCACATTCCAACAGCTCTGCTCCATAGCCTCGGATTGCATTCTTCTTCACATCAGGAGCCATCTGTGGCACGACGACGCAACACGGGAGATTGGCTCGCTGGGCGGCCCATGCCAGCGCCTGGCCGTGGTTCCCACTGGAGTGTGTCACCTGTGGTGACAGGGATGTAATTGGTAAACCAGAACAGCGAATGTATGTCTATCACGCCACCTTCAATTGGTCATGGCCTATTATCTCTACTAAGTTAATTCACATAGAGGTCCTACATTGAAACAGGACGTGAGGGCACATGGTGTGTTTCATGACGTCACTGGCACTGGACGCGCATTCTTTCTACCTTCTTTAACTAATCTTTCGTCTATACGTACTGTATAAATGTTCAGTGGATTACATAAGCTGACAACTGATAATGTAAAAGAGAAAACGCAAAATACATACAGCCTGCAGCTCAAACTCAAACAAATTGCAGTTACTGAAAGATGTAGAAGAGATGAAAAAAACTTTCAAAAGCTGAAATTTGCAGATAACATGGCATTTCACCATTCCTAATTCTATGCTTCCAACAATCATCGCTATTTGAGCAAATCTCTCAAAACCAAAAACCTGCCTACATATGAAAATCTGACAGTCCTTCAGAATTCGGTTTAAGTGCACTCCAGTGTATTCAAGTGCAGCTGACTTTACTAGGGATAACAAAATCATATGTTCCACGACGCGATGGAATCAGGCGCTCGTCAATTTGGGGGCATATGAAGTTATTGTACTGTCTTAAAGCCTGACCGTTTGCCTTGCTTGTAATGATAAAAATATCCATTTATCTCCAATACAAGTCAAGATATTCGCAATTGAAGGAGGTGGGGGTTGCCTGGTTTCAGTGGTAAAATAAGCGAGAAAATGGCCGCCAAAGTTGAGTTATTTCCTTAGTTTGAGAGCCTGTGGAAACTGAAAATTTACATTTTTTATGCCTTTAATCAACGTTTTTCAGTAAAAATTCACATAGAAATTTGTTCTTTTTTTTTTTTTTGGGTAAGTGTTTTACGGCGCTCGCAACTGCATGAGGTCATATGAGAGCACAGGACACACCAAACATTTTCAGTTGGTAGGAAATTTTGAATTTTGCCCGGGTGGTAGCCGAAGCCTACTCTATCAATTTTGGACCACCAAGGGATCTTCAACATGCACAAAGTGCACATGGGACCTCCAAGATTTTTGCCCTTGTACGAGAAGGCTTGGTGTAGATCTTTCCGACCATACGATCAGGGGTGTGGCTGGAAGACAGCAGTAAGAAGGCACCAAGGAGAAGCAGTAGAAAGGCTGCAGAAAGGAAGCAGAAAAAGTCAGGAGCTCAGAGGAGGGGGGAGAAGGAGATGAGGGGGGTGGGGGCAGAAAGTGGAGGTGAAAGCAAATGACAGAACACTGCTAGAGAGCAGGAAAGGAGGTGAAAGTAGACAATTTTAGAGAAAAAATTTTTTTCGGCGCTACCAGGATTCGAACCCGGGACCTTTGAATGAGAGGCGAACTCCTTAACCTCTAGGCCACAAGAGCCCCCTATTTGTTCTTTAATGGGCAGGAAAGGTGTTGAGCCAAAAAACAAAAATTCGATAAAAATTACCAAACCTGTGGAAAAATGTCTGTTTCTTGACTTCCTTTATTTTGACGAGCGCCTGATTTCACTACACTGCCTCACATATTATTTTATTCTCTCTATTAGATGAAATTTTTTAAAACTTTGAACAATCTCATGAAACGGAACCTGTTTCAAATGTTAATATAAAATTCATCACTACCATAACAAGAAAACCAAAATCACAAGAAAACATCCCTGTCCCGTCCGCCCCACCAGGCATCAGGATTTGCTTTACTCACCACTCCGTTGACGTTTGGTTTCACTTGCTGACACTTCAAAACCTGGGAAGATAAAAGATAATGTAGGCATAAACTTTCCAGAAGAAGAAGAAGTGAGAAAGAATCTAAAAAGAACCAAAACGTGTTTTAATTCTACCAAAAATATGCATTCACATAGTAGATTATAGAAAAACCAAAAAATGAACACAAGTGTAGGATAAAAATGATGTTGACTGAATTATTGTTATTGAATGAAAGGGGAAAGGCAGTGAGTTTCCATATATTATCCAAGAGACTTTTCTCCGAACATTCGGGAAAATAAACTTGAACTCTATTTCTCCTAACAATTTCCGTACTCAAGATTTTTTTGGTTATTTGCGAGATTTAGGCGTCATCTTTTATTCTGCCATTCTGCAAGGACTGGGAAAAAGCTTCTTTTTTTTTTACATCAAATTCAATTTCTAGAGCTAGGAATTTTTAAAAGTCTGAATATTCAGATACTTCAGTTGTGGTTGTGGCAATGTTCCCAGACTTTACTTCATTTGAAAATACCTTCAAAACGTACTGAAAGAAAACAAGACTGATCAACCTTGGCATTATCCTATTTTGCATTTAGTCATCAAGCAAAAAATAAAATCCTTCATGTAAAAGAAAAATCCCTCCAGGCCCCACCCCCACCCCAGGCCTAGTTCACACCTTAGGCATACAGAGTAATACACACACACACACATGCACATTCACTATCACACACACACACACACACACACACACACACACACACACACACACACACACGGGCCACTCCATTCATAATTATTATCAACAAATCTCGAGAACGGAAACCGTTCGGAGAAATTAAACAGAGTTCAAGTTTATTTTCCCGAACGTTCTGAGAAATAGAGTATAGAGCCGGCCTTATCAAAGGAGAAACCAATTTTATAAGAAATAAAGCAGTCAATTTAGACTAATTTAGCGTAACTGTATACCCCATAAAATTTCACGAAATGGCCCACAACTCGTCTTTAATTAAAAAGTGTCAAAATGGGGGAGGGGTGATGAGGAGGGAAAAGGGGGGGGGGGGCATCAATTATGATTTTCTGCCTTCCTCAACAGTCATGCCGATGAGACGATCCCTGCTTCTACTGATCTAACCAGAGGTAACATTTGGCACACACTCCGTAGGCCTATGTTATATTGTCACCTTGAGCCAAGTCCTTGAACCTGCTAAAGGTAGACCAAAACGCAGGGACGACAACAGGTGAATAAATCGTTAGTCGAGAAAGCAGAAAGGCAGAAAGTGACAAATGACAAATGAAAGCGAGGAGTGGTTAGTCAGTAATAATAGCGGTTAGGGCTAGGGTATGTGACCAACGTACGGCATTCAACGCTCCACGGGCTTTAAATGAACCCGACTTTTGAAAGTTTTCGCATTTGAAGAACAGTTGTCGTCCACATTTCCTATTTGCTTGTTCAGATGTGAAGATAGGAGTTTTGTGAATGAACGGTGAAATCCTTTCCAGTGCTTTGAGCACATCGACGAAAGTTACTCCACACGAAGCTGCCATTGTTTAGTTGCTATTTGACCTATGGCCTTTCACTTTTGACCTTACCCACCCTCTATGACAAGTGAATCAACCAATCAGGGAGAACGGGTCACAAGGGACATAATCCTCAATTAATTCACTAAAGGTAGGCTAGCGGATGGCAAGTTGTAGGCCCTATTACTATTAGCAGAGACTCTTCTCTGCAATTAGTAGTAGATTAGATCTGTTGATCCAGATCTCTATAAGTAGGCTACGGCAGTAGGCACAGTCAAAGAAAGAAAAGCCCCCAGCAAAATAAAATCGGAATGATAATTTGACAAAGCTGAAGATATATATTTTAACTAGCCTAATGATATAATGGTAGAGTAATCGTAAAACTGGGTAGAATGATCCAAATGTCAGCACAAAGATTATAGAGAATGGTCAAAAATTCATGGCGCAACTTCTTATCGTAAAATCTCCTCAACTATCGAACATATTAAACTCTCCAGCTTTTGCACAGTGACTTATATCAATTTGTCTTAACAGATCAATATTTTTTAGAAGACCTGTTAGCCCTATTCAAGAACATTCCTTTTTAAATACTAATACAAAATCCCAGTAGGTGGTTTCTACTGATTTTAAAAGATTTTACACCTGGAACTATATATCGCTTTTAAAAGCAAGTCCATCATTTTGTTCTAATTGCGAGATATTATCTTGATTTAACGCATGCTTTGAGAACTTTTGGTGCTAAAAAGGGTTCGCTATAAAATTAATTTCTTGTAACTAGTTTTGCCACGAAAAAGGATCATTGGTGAACTGTGACGTAACCATAGATGTACACATGTGCCTATACAAAATGTGTGTGAGAAGGGGGAAGTGCTGTGAACAATTCCATTTTCCAGGTGTAGGAGCAGATTTTGTAGAGGTTTTTTTTATAATGTATGAAGAAAAGTTTTTTAAAAATCTGGCCTCAACTGTTAAGGAAAAATATGGTTAAGTGAAGACAAATTGAGACAAACTGCTGAGCAAAGTATGGAGACCCGGTTCACCCGTTAAAGAGGTATTTGAGGATAAGTTGCGTCACGAATTTTTGACCGCACTATTGTTAGCATGGGGATCAGAAGTAATATCGAGGCCGCGGCACATAGATCAAAAGCAGTATTGGCGCCGACATCAGAAGCGGCGTCGGTGGCCTTGTGGTTAGGCTACCGGACTCGTAATCGTGAGGTTACGGATTCGGGGGTTCGAGCCGCGGGCCCGACGTTGTGTCTTTGGGAAAGGCACTTTACACAAATTTTCCTCGCTTCATTCAGGTGGGAATGGGTACCCGGCTACCCGGCTTTAGACAACGAAAGATCTTGTCATTATGTTAGTGTTTTAGCGCCTATAAATGGCTGCTTGCACTGTATGCTTCCCAGGAAGTTGAGGTAGTTTCAGAAAGCTCTCAGCTCTTTTTGTATAGAAGAGGGTTTTACGGCGCTCGCAACTGCATTAGGTCATATGAGCGCCTTGGGGTGGGTGTCAACAGAGAAGTCTTTACAGGGAATCAGACTTC